GGTGATCTACAATGAAATCCTTTATTTTAGTAAGGGCAGAAGACATCCACTCTATGAACTGATCCTGTAAGATGTCTTTTAATAGGAAGTTGATTTCAAGTTTTAACCAAAGTATTTATGTGTTCTGTATCTGCTTTGAGCAGAAATCATCAACAGGATTCAGTTATAAAAATTCAGATCATATTATCAGCAAGTAGAGAGAGGGCCTTTGATTTCCTTTGCAGAGAAGGCAGCAACATGATAGTGAAAGAATTCTTCCTCAGGTGCTTTGAGAAGTGAAGCAAAAATGAATAAATGCTTTTCATTCTTCTTCAAAAACAGTATAATTTTTGTACATTCGATAGGAATTACTTCACTGGCTGTTACTATTGTTTCTAATCTACTTAACACTAACCATCCAAAGAGTAAACTCCGTATTTGTATTCTTATTTTGCTCCTGAAACATCTTGCTATCTTTTGCATAATGAGAAAAATTTCTCACTGTAAATGTTTTTCTTCTCAAAGCTGCAGACTGCATTATATTCCTTGGAAAATCTCTTCTCTGCAGAGACTTGCAATGCAGTTTATGCAGAATTAACTGCCTTACATTTTTCCAGGATTCTTATGTTGAAACATATCTCAGATTACAAGTGTCTCATAAAATGATGTAGTGCAGATGAGATATTGGTGTAGGATTGAATTTTAAACATTAATATCTCACTTAATATTAAAGTCTTACAACAATGATAGGTGAGACTTTTTATCATTAAATCGTCTTGACATTACATGTCTCTCTTCGTTCATAAAGTCAGACTCAGTAGGTTACTTCTACTCTGTAGGTTACAGCAGGTTCAACATACACTATGAGGAAGTGCCTGGGAAGACAACTGTTTAGAAATGACAGTCCATATTCATTGAACTTCATTAACTACAATGCCCCTTCAACTTTGGTCAATAGAAAGAAAAAAAAAAACCAAACATTGCTTTTCATTGGATTTTATTTAGTATTATGATAATTTCAATGGTGTTTTCTAAAGTGCTCTGGAATTTTTCTAAAATCAGTATAAAAATACTGCATTGCTTTTATCAGTGAGCATGTAAGAGCATTCTAACAGGCACATGAAGATGATGATGTGCTCCCACACAGAACTGCTGATAACAGACATCTTTATAACGGTGAATGTTTATTGCTCAGGACAGTAGAATGAATGCTTTATATGGTTTGATGGCTACATACAAGCAATCTAGAAGACAAAGACAAAAAGAGAACTGCTATTGCTTCTCCTTCTGCTGTCCTGTGTTAAGACTACATCCAGCAGAGATATGTTACACATTCTGTTCAAGTGTTCTTGACCTGAAGATGAAATGAATGTATATGTATATGAAGAGAGCTATTGTAAAATCTTGTCAAAAATCACTTTCACATACTTGTTTAAATACATAATATATTATAAACCTTTCTGACAGTACCTGGCATAGAATATATTTATAGCCAGGAAAAAAAGATATTGAAATTTTTCAGTTGGTTTATTATTTATTTTCTTAAAAGCCTTTTCTGTTGACAGAAACAATATTCTCTTTAATCAGACTGAAGTTTTTTAAGTTTGTCTAAGCATGGTAAGATGCAAGCCACCAGAAGTGACAGATGATATGAATAATATTTCCAAGACATGCTTGACCTTTTTGTAAAAATTAAAGAAAATATTAATAGCATGGGAAATAAATAGATGTAATATAAGCATTTTATCGTCAGGAAATTAAATTGGTGGATCAAAAGCACCACTGCAGTGACAAACAGCAACTGCAGATATACTAAAACTAGGTGATAACAGAAGAAACTGCAGCTTATGAAGTTCCCCTGTTTCAGCAAATGTGATCAAACACAATCTTGCTTACAGAAGTACATTAAGAAAGATCTTCCACTGTTGGATTTTTACTTATCACCATTTTATCCAAAGAGAAAATCCTTATGGTACCAATACCAATGAAGTTATATAAAAAGGTGTGGTGGAGAAAGAGAAAATCTCAGCTACGATCAGGAACATGATGAAGCCAGACAGCATATATCTTTCAATGAAGTATAAATAAATACATAATGAGATCAAAGAAGGTCCATGGATTCCATAGACTCACAGACTCATGGAATGATTTGGGTTGGAAGGGACCTTTACAGGTCATCTTGTCCACTGTAAGAGGAAATAAAAGAGAATTCTTGCTCTTCTTAAAGGCTTCTGGAGTTAATTTTGCAGGTCCAATACTTTGAATACGCATTAATTTTATGGAAAGGATCACTGAAAGTACCTGACAGATGTTAGCAAACATACTTGATCTAATACAGTATTTATATGGCAGAAGGAAAAAAAGCAAAGTGAAGTGTCATGTTAAATAAATCCTGAAAATACAAAATGAAAGAACTGGGATAAGTCAAGAAAGAAAGAAAGAAAACAGAGACAAATGACGAAAGTATTACATGTCATGCAAAGACGACATATATTTAAACCAAGATTGTGAAGAGTCTGCAGAAGAATAGAAGAACCTTAAACAAGAGAAGGATGTGGATGATATGAGAAGACATGGATAAATCAAAAGGCTTGCAAATATAGTGACAGCAGCACAAAAAAAGAAAGGCAAGAAACAAATGTTTCAAAGCCGAAGGAATATCAAACTTTCCCACCCACATAGACAGTCTGAGTTAAAATGCAACTAAGGTGTAGAATTTTCAGCAGAAATCCAAAAGCTAAAATATCCTAAAGGAACTGAAGGTACATCAAAAACTCAGGTGATAGAAGTAGACTCATTCACTGAACTGTAAAGATCAGAATTTTACAAGGAGTTGTCAAAAGAGGAGTTAAACAATCTATTTCCTATAGAAAATTTCCTGTCCTTTTTCCAGGACAACACAAGGATTTCAGTTTCAAAATGGCACTATAGTGGGCACTCTAGACATACATCCGTCAACCGCCCTTTCTTCCTCCCTTTATTATTAAACTCCAAAGTTCGGCTGATACATTTCTAATTTAACTGACCAACAGGAATATGAAAGTCTTTCCCTTTGGGAGGACAGGCAATCTGAAAACCTTAGTGACTACTAAGCACATACAGAAAGCTAACCAACCTATGACTGAAACTGCAGTAAGCAGGAA